TAGAATATTAAATTTAGTTTCTATTTTTTAATTTATAAATATAAAAATATATTTATATATAACTATTAATATTATATTATAATTATATTAGTAATATTAACTAATTATAGTTATTTTATAGTTATAACGGGTCGGCCCTAAGGAAAAGATAAAATAATTTAAGCCATCACCATGTGGTATTAGTTTAGGGATTGGAGTGAGGAGAGGTTGACTGTGCTTATATTCTCCAGATTTTTGTAGTGGATTGGTCCCTCTTGTGGATGTAGGCCTCGTGGCCAAACCACACAAATTTGGTCTCTTTCTCTTTTTCTTTTTCTTTATTTTTTGGTATTTTCCCACTTGATCTCTGCTGGTTAGTAGGAGAGACTTCCCCCGTTTAGGTGCCCCAGACTTTACAAACCCATTAATGACTTTTCAAGTCAGATTTATATTGGGACTTTGGTTTTAGAAGGGTCAATTTGTGATCATTAGAGTGATAAGGTGATTGACCTCATAAATGCTTTAAACTATGTTCCTTCTTCCTGGTGAGTATGATCTTAGGGTGTAGTTATTCAATTTGTTGGATAGTTCTCCCTCTTTTCTCCCTTAAGCTTTTGCTGATAAAGCCACTGATGACTCTTTAAGTCAGATTTATATTGGGATTTTGGTTTTAGAAGAGTCACTTTGTGATCATTAGAGTGATAAGTTGACTGACCTCATAAATGCTTTAAATTTTGTTCCTTCTTCCTGGTAAGTATGATCTTAGGGTGTAGTTATTCAATTTGTTGGATTGTTCCCCCTCTTTTATCCCTTAACCTTTTGCTGATAAAGCATTGTGGATGTGGTCTTACTTTACAAATCATTAAAGCCCTTATGCTCAGAAACAACCCTCAAGATTACAATGTAGGTGAGATGCTTTAATGAAGTTGGAAATCTTGGTATCTTTCCCCTTAGGTGTGCATTCTTTTCCAGGGAAGTGGCTAGAATGCTTATCATCTATTGCTAGCTTGTTCTTTATCAAATGCCATATGAAACCACCTTTTTCCCTTTATTTGGATCCCAATGGGTGCCCAACTGACCTATTGGATCTTTTGTACTCCAATTTCCTATCACCATCTACTCGGAGAGGGAAGATTCTACAGAATGCACATACTTTTCTTTGGAGTGTGTGGGCAGAAAGAATTTCAAGAATCTTCAATGATAAGAAGTAGGATGTAAACATAATGGTAGACCTTGAAATCATTATAGTTGCTCAATGGGCTTAACAAGAGGAAGGAATTCAAGGGTTTAACTGAAGTATATCATTAGAAGGCAGTGTCTGGTAGCCCTCATAGTCAGCCTTTTCCTAGTATGGGAGCCTCTGGGGCCAGATAGCTGAAACTGAAGTTTGATGAGTTGCAACTACGGACCCCCAGGTGCTTTTAGAGGAGAAACTAGACAAATGGTATTGATATTTTGAGGCCGGTGTCCTTTTGTTGCTACATTGACTGAAATTGGGTTCTCTTGGGGAATGGATTGCTTGCTTGTTGAAGGTGACTGAAGTAGTAATTGGATGGATGGCTTTAGATTCTGTTGTTCCTTGGATCCTCCTACATTATATTAGAGAGACAAGAACATTGGCTGCTAGGATGAAAAGCTCATTCATCTGCGTCCTTAGATTGGCTAACCATCTAGTGGGTTTCTTACCAAGAGGGTTGGAAGGATTCAGTTTTATCAGGGGGTTGCTGGTTCGGGGAAAGTGTGATTTTGTTTGATTGTATTTGTTTAATGTGTAATAGTGGTGTATATCTTAATTCTCTGTTTGTCCCCTCTTTTGTGCACCTTCTGGAGGCAGATATGTGCATAAGTCTCTTTGATCATAGATGCTGATATAAAGGTTGTTTTTTCTATCTTCTTTGATACAGATCTGGCCAACATGATGGGAGTGCTTTGACTGAAGAAGCAAAGTATATTGCAAACATGCTTTCTCTGAGATTGCAAATGAAGCTCCGATCTAGCGGGTGGTCTTTGATTTTTATCACTAGAAAGCCAGAGAAACAGCGTAATGATACCACAAGAGAACTCATTTCTGCAGGATATGTAGGGTGGTCATCTTTGATCATGAGGTAAGATGCTCAATAGCTCATGTCCTTTTATGTAAATTGACAACTAGATGAATCAGGGACTAACTATCAAATTCATTAAATGCTAGTCTGCATCAATCCCCCTACCCACTCATATACACCACACACAAAAGGAAACATCAAGTAAGTGGGTTAACTTGTTTGAACAAGTGAGGAAGCTTTTAAGTAATATTATGCAGCTATGTCTCCAAGTTGCACTGGTAGTCTATTGAATTCTCAACTTTCTGGCCATGGTGATCATATTCATGGCTATCATAGCCTCCATGAAGAAGTTCATGATGGGGTACCTACATATTGCTTTTACGAGCCTTGGGGTGTTGCCAATGGGTCCTTTAAGAAGTCCCAAAACCTAGCCAGAGTTCACCCCAACCTCTCTACAATGTGTATCTATATAGATTTCTCAGGTAGTTAATGTAGCCTTTGTGTGTGTTTGCCTGTACTATAAGCACAATAGTTAAAGTTATCGACTGATTCTGTGATATTGAATCCATTATTGCATCTTTAAAACCAAAAGTGAAGAAAGGAAGGAAATTTTGAGTTTAAAACTTTACCTTTGAACAGGGTACAAAGAGCTTTTGGACTCCTTAATGTGCATGCATTTTAGTTTCTTTGGTTGTGAGATTTCTTCCTTGGACCATCTAGTGGTTAAGATTCCAACCTTAAGAAATGACCTCTCTTTTGAGTTTTGACTACCATTGGTTGTCTCAGTGTTTTAAAAACACAAGGCGCAGGGGTCAATTTGCGCTTGAGGCGCAAGGAGCAAGGCGAGGCGCACGCCTTTTTGAAGCAAGGCACAAAAATACAAAAAAATGCTAAAAAATAAAAAAAATGTCAGAAAATTCAAAAAAATAAAAAAGTTCAAAAAATATTAATAAAAAATATAAACTTAAAATTTAAAATAAATGTTTTAAAAAACCTAATATCTAAAATTAAAATACATAAACATAAGATGCAAAGCATATTCAAATGAGAATTTAAAAATAAAATCAAACATATAAAACATTTTCAAGCATGTAAAACCTGTAATCTCTTTTTTCACTCAATTGCAATACTTCAAGTAGCTAATGTAATGTAAAACATATTACGTTCCTGATTCTACGAGCCGCTTTTGTGCCATGCCCCTTGAGTCAAGCCCAAACAAGTCCACGTTAGGTCTTAAATTTTTAGTTTTTGCACAAAAAATAATGATTTTATAGTTTTAATTGCTTTTTAAGAAGACATTTTATTAGGATGAATGAATGAACAACATTACCAAATTGGGGGTTCTCGGAGCCCCTGACCCAGCCGCTATGTTCAAAAAAAGAAAAAAAGAGTCAAATTTTCAAAAGGCGCACGCCTGGGCTGGGGCGCAAGGCGCATCAGGCGCCCCAGGCGTGCACATTTTGAAAGGGCTGCACCTAGGAGGTGCCTCGCCTGTGTGCCTAGGCGCACCTTTTAAATCACTGGGTTGTCTGTCTTTGTTTCATATGTTTATATGTACATATTCTGGCAGGTAGAGTTCTCTGGTTACTTGGCATCTTTAGTCCTTATCTTGAGCTTTTCAACTTCTGATCAATAATCACTTTTAGATTTACCTTGTTGTCAGAAACTTCAACATTTTCTTTTCTTTTCTTTTCTTTTTAATGAGAAGAAACCTCAACAACTTAATCCTTTGATAGATGCTGGAGGCATGACTGAACCAGACTTACCTCATTCACTTTTTCTTTGCCTTTTGTTGATTTCTAACTTGTGCTGACCTGGGTGAATCTTTAGTTGGGTATACTTGGTGGATTTAATAGGGCCTTTTGCATCTGTGGTCCCTCATGTTTTATGCTTTTAGCAATATTATATATTCTCCATATGTTTTTTAAATATTGTTAACTATCGTCTTTACAAATTATGAGAAAGTAATTTATGTACAACACAGTAGTATCTTGTTAGGCTGGACATCATCCACTTAACCCCTTCTATGTTACATTATAACTTCCAAATATCTTTCATTTTTACTACCCCCAATAAATTTGTTCCCTGTTTACCCCTTGTTTAGTGAGTTAGCTGTGCCATTTGCTGATCTATGAAACCACATGAAAATGACCCTACCCTTATAATTTGGTTTTCTTCTCTCATAGTATGTTGATGCTGCCACATCCCTCGAGTTTTTTCTTGTAGCCAGTTTATTACCATTTTTGAGTCTCCCTCCACTATATTTTCCATATCCAGCCTTCTTCAACCACCATATTTCTCTATATATTTTCTGAATTAGCATTGATCCCCCTATGTTTTATAGATTGACTGTAATGCCGCCTCCTGTTAAGAGCAACTTGAAACCATTAATAATCACAAAGTAACAAAACTGCCCTTAATCCACCTGAAATTCATTATGGAACAAAATCTATGTACTTTTGTTTTTATTTTAATTCAGAAATCTTTAAGTTTATGTTTTTTTTTCCTCTCTTTTTTCCATTTTGAAACCCTAAAATCCTCTGATATGGAAATAAATGAAAACAAAAGAATTGAGAAAATGAACAACATAATGGATTCTAAATTAAAAAATATAATTAATCTTATTCCCTTTTTAATTTCAGTGGTTTAAGGATGATTTTGTCATTGTCATATCATTATTTGAACTTAACAGTTTTAGGTTGCTTTTAGCAACAAGGGCACAAATGAAGTCAATTTGTAAAATGTAGAGGGATCAATGAAGATTGGAAAGGATGGGGGAAGTATACAAAATTGCAAGGACATGGGAATTATAGATGCAGAAAAGCCCATCTATATATTCCCCATAATGGTCTGATTTGTAAACTAGGATATGTCGACCCCATAACTGTTCTTACTTTGATAGTGAAAATAAATTCATTAAAGGAAAAAATATACAAAAAAGATTAAGGAAAACCAAAAGAAAACAAAGAGGCAGTCGTAAACCGCAAGGCCCATTCTCTAAACCCCTGCTATACCATCAACAAATACCTAAGATGTCCCAAAGACCACACTCCCCCTCCCAAGACACTGCAAAGAAATCCCCAGATGACTAAAACCTTCATAAAACAGATCAATGGCTCTACCCTAAAATAGAATTCTTCCCTCTTCCACCTTTTCATCTGCTCTTATTTCATAACCAAACCCATTACCTCATGGTTTGTCATTCTGATCGGTACCCCATTTTTTTTCCCAAATGCATGGTCTCTTTTTTTTTTTAGATGTTCATGTGGTATTGTTATAAGTGTTTTAAGAGACTGTCATCCACAAGTTTGGTTGAAGATCATTCGTCTTGCAGTTTGGATGACGAAATGCAACTGGATAGCTGGGAATTCTTTTCTAAAAGGAGAACAGAATTACGGAGTCGAGGCTTCCGTATCACAAGCATTATTAGCAGCAGGATGGATGCTTTAACAGGTCCATGCTTAGGGAAACGTAATTTCAAGCTTGCAAATCCGAATTCTATTCTCTACATGCTAGATCCTCAGAATGGAACATTGGAACAAATACAGTAAAATGCGTCTCTAGGTGATTTGTCATTTATGCCGATAAGGAATGGTCTATTGTAAAGCCTACTGTAAATATGTAACTAACAGATTTTTTTTTTTTTTTTTATTTCATGAATATGTTATATGTTCATAATCTAAACCTAATTAGTCAATTACCCAAGGGAGAATAATAGTATACACGATTTATTTGCATCTATTTCCAAGAATGAAGTTTTTGGCTGCTAAAGTTTGACTTTATAGAGATTCCAGTCTGTGCGTGTCCTATCTCTAGAAAACTCAGATTTTGTCCCAAAGAAAGCTCTTGGCTTTATTTTATTGAATGAACTTCTGCCATTGTACTTTCGAAGCCCATAGCTTTTCTTTAGTTTGGCTTTTGCATATGCTCTCCGAAGTCCGAACATATTCTTCTCTTAAATCTGGTAATGGATTTTAAGCTTTTAAAAGTAGAAGGCACGAAAGCATCGTTGGGCTTCTTCAATTAACTTTTGGCTGGACTTATGTACCTTTCACTCCTAAATTGTATAGCAGTTTATACTCCATATATTCATACATGTCACCATAAAAAAGTCAACAACTAATGCGAAATTGCTATTCGTTTCACTAAAAGCAAGCATGATCCTGGATCATGAATTAGGTCATTCATGTAAAGGGAATAACATGTAAGAGTAGAATGTTCAGAGCACACAAGCAAAAGCCAAACCGAACTTCTCTTGCGAAAGGAGAAATTCAGCAGCAAATGATACAACTGTTTCAACTTTTGGCCTTGGGTATTTAAGTCATTGGCAAGAACTAAGAAGATGGTTCCCCAATGTCACACAACACAATGATTACTTTTAATGTTGGAAGTGCAAGAAAAAAGAACAAAGTTTTAGGGAGAATCTATGATGCCGGAAATATATGATTCCGCAAAGTCTTTGACCAATTACAACCCCTCTGAATAAATCCAGCTGATTGGTTACTTGCTTTATGTTTATGATACCGATTGATTGGTTGTAAGTTTTTCCGTTATCATGTCTTTCCGGCATGATTCAATATTTAATTTTACTGTGTACTTTCCAGGCTGATCCCCTACTGTTGGATCTCGTTTAACATATCACTCAAAGTTAGGGCTGCAAGTTGGGCTGGGTTGAGGCCAACCTTAACCCAATCCTAAGTTCTAAACCCCCAACCTGACCTACCCAATCCTAATCCTAACCCTAACTAAATTCCTTCAACCCTAACCCAATCCAACCCGAAGTCAACTTTGGGTTGGGCTCAGGTTGGGCCTAACCCAACCTTCTTCCCATCCCTTAATATCTCATAGAACTTCTTAATCTCAGATCTTAACTCAACTTTCACTACATATATTAATCCTATGTTTTATTAGTTGATGTTTTTATTGGTTCTTTAAGTACAAAATAAAAAAAAAAGTGTTTGAAATGATTATAGTTTATTATGAGTTATAGCTTATAATGGATCTTTTATGGGCAGTAAGCTATGGGTGGCAAACAACAAAGAGGAGATAAAGAATAAAATATTCAAAAAACATAAAAAATATTATTAAGGTTTTGGTATTTACAATTAGGACTTAGTGAAGTGGTTATCTTAAAAGAAATAAATGATATAAATGATAGTATGTAGTAGGGGCTATACAACTATCATGCATATAAACAAATCAATGTATGATATCGGGTCAACCCGATCCAATCTGAAGTAAATTCGAATTCATAAATTTCAACCCTAACCCTAATTCGAGCATCAACCTAACCCAACCCAACCTAACTTTTTTAGATTGGGTTAGGGCCAACCCGGCCCAAGTTGCAGCCTTACTCAAAGTACCCACCTCAGCGCTGAAGCAAATTAGATGACAGATTGCAATCAAAAGATAAATGGCAATAACCAATAACCAAGCAAACAAAAATGTTAGAATGTGAATGGGCGAGTCCTCTCAATTGATGCGACTTTATTCACAATACAAGTAGTCGGACCAGTGCTGGTGAGAGTGAGAAGTTAGTCGGTCATTCCCGATTAGAAATCTTGCAAGGCTCAACTCCATGAGGATATCAAGAATCTAATTAGGGTGATAAATTTTTGATGCAGCTCAAAGGTAATGACTTTTCTATAATTTTATATTCAAGCAAACTCTACATTAGGGGTGCAAATGGGTCGGATTATCATTCAATTCAAATTTAAATTTGATTTTATTTTGTAGATTTCAGATATTTCTTATTGGATTTTCAAATAGAACCAGATCGGATTAGATCTAAAAATAGAATCCATTTCAAAATTGGATTGAATTCGAATCACCCGTATCCAATCAGACTCGGATATCTGGCATTCTTAACAGGTTTGAATTTGAATTGATCTTTGTGGGATTTGTTAGATCAATGGATCAGATTAGATATAGGATTTACATTATCGGATCGAATTTGGGTATTACCCCTATCTGAATTCGATTCGATCCATTTGCATCCCTATCCATACAAGGGTGCTTCACCTTCTCTTACCAGTGGTGGAATGAATGCTAATCTTTCTTTCCAGCGGTGAAAAGGAACTTCTTTAGGCCCTCATTGGACAACTAAGGCCTGAGTGAGGAAGATAAATGATAAATCCTTCTTTAGAATCTATGAACCACAGAATAAGATAGGGGGTGTAACCTATGCAAGTTAGGCTGGGTATATGGCTAAAACAGACTCCAACCCTAAGATCTGGACATCAGATCAAAGTGTAGCCCAATCTAAGGTCAAAGCCTGAGTTTGCCAACCTAAGCCTCGTCATGGCCAAATCCAACACAAATTGAGATGGGCTTGGGCTTATACAGACTTGGATGGGTTTAAACGTTTTCATGCTTATCTAGGCTTTGTATCCAATTTAAAAATAAGACACTTGGATTCAAATATGCATGTTTTTACATATGATACTGGTTTTGGTTCAAGCACAGGTTTTTAGGCCTCAGCCCATCCTAGAAGCTGAAAGTCTAAGCACAACCAATGCAAAAAAGCTTGGGTTGGGTAAGGCTCAAGTTAAATCAGCCAAAATTGCAAATCTAGGATAGTCTTGATCTCAGGGGTTGGACTACTCTTTGCTTGATTTTGGTAGTGTGGTCTCTCTAACGTGTAGTGTGTTTGAATCTACTGGATTGTGGTGTGGAGGTATTGTTAGTCAAATTGTAAATAAAATATTTCAATATTTATTATATTACATATAGATGATGTTTGGTTCCTGATGAGGGATAATTTGGCCCGTCAAATGATATGATGACACATGGAGTCATAGAACAAAGAGGTGACACCTCAGTGACCTCGGTGACCTCAGCAATCCCAGTCATCTTGCACACATCGGGTCACCCAGTTAGAGACCAAGGCTTGAATAGCTCAACTATATGCACCGATCTATCGAGATGCCACGTAACCTCTATCCAAAAGCAAGTCAACTGTCTTCAATCTCCTCGGGATCACGACACCACGTAAATGGAATTCATCTTCTCCTCGCCCGATTCGGACTGATTTGGATAAGCCTTATCAACTTGTGTAGAGTTCGCCTTTGGGTGCGAAACCAACTACCGACCGGACGGCCTGAGGATCTCGGACATGCATCGTGAGGCCCACGACAACTCGCCTATATAAAGGCCTTGCCTCCAGCCTCACAAGGTACGTGTGATTCAACTCTCTCAATACTCTAGCAATATTGCTTTCAACTCTCTCAAAAACCTCCAATTCGTTAATTTAAGCATCGGAGTGCCCACACCGGGTAAAGCACCCCAGACACTCTGACCTCATTTTCTTGTAGCTCGACTAGGTGACCTTGCTAGTTTGACGTTCGAGCTGTCCTCCAATAGGGAGCACTAGATCGCGCATAATCCGTTCCGTTGTCATTTATTTGAAAAACAGAACTAGTTCACTGCCACCCATGTGCTTATTCTGAAATGTTGTTTGGTGAATGTTTGTCTTGTTTTGTGTAAAATCCAATCAATAGGGGGAAGCTTCATTTTTAATGTTTCCCCCAACACCAAGGGGTTTATTTATTGTTTAGCTTATGTGGTGCCTAATGGCGCCTAAACATAAAACAACATCAAAAAGCATTTATTAACCCCTTTTCTAATTTTTCAAGATACATCACATACAAAATGTTTATTAAATAAACGACCATAGTACCACACAACCTCATAGTGATCATCCAATTAGTTGTGGTGTGGATTCATTCACGAGATACTGATATGTAAGAGAAATTGCAATATTTTTGTCTTCGGGTCATAGGTGACAGGTTTGATCGTGTCATGTGTGTAGGTATGTATAAACGTGTATTTTATCATTAAAAATGTATAATTATTTTTGAGATGTAATATATGCATATATAAATATTATTTTATATTTTATTTTTATTTTTAACAAATGTTAAAATTGCAATTGAGGCCCTAAAAGAATTTTTTGGTAAAATAGCAGGGCAAGGCACCTTTGGCCCCTTGGGACACAAATCTTGGAAAGTTACCTAAAATAAAAAATAACCCTAATCAAGCATCAGGGTGTAAAGTTATGGTTTCTGGAAATTTGCACGTAATATGTGCGTCCCACAACCTGTGATTGGGTCGAATGAATCAATGCTTGAACCACCTAGGTTGGATGATTTTTTTACCAAATTAATGTTTTTTTACCGAACGAGTTTCAACAGAATCAGATCCAAAATCAAGACTAGTTGATTCAAATGATTCAACTGTCCGAATCAACAATAGATTGAAAACACTACTTTTAAATCATCTTTCAAAACATACTACACTTCTAGAAGAATGCTTAATGGGCATAGGCCGTGTGACTTGTTTCAAAACCAAGCAATCCACAAAATATCCACAATACAGAACACCCTGAACTCAATTGTTTTATAATTGGATTGAATATTGATCAATCCCAACCCAAAAGTCAATATTACCTATTTAAATCAATATTGTAAGACTCAGACCGGAACAAAAACCGAAGTGCTAAAACTCAAATGGGTCATGGTGTCATTGGGTAGTTACTCCGTTCAACTTGTGAAAAGCGTCATTTAACTAGGACAGAGAATGCCTACCATTTCTGGTTTTCGTGATCTGACCATCTGGTCCAATCCGATCCAAGTCTTACATAGTTACATTTATGCTTATATATTAGTTTAATGTTCTATGTTGATTAAAGAGTAGATTTCATTAAAATCAATTGCTCAAGGTACAATCAGTTAAGAGTGCTGAGAAAAGAAAATCTGGAACAACAGAGAACAGACCAAGTGAACTGTGAACACACTTGAAATAGAAAAAAGAGCTCTTTTGGTAAGCAAGTGAGCCAGCCAGACGAGGACATATAGCCATGAACTTAACACATTACTCAGACAACACGGGGAAGTATTCATGCAGATTTAGCATGCCCATTTTATCGTATCATTACATTTTGTGCATACAATTATTCGAGCAATGCAGTCGTCATTCTCATCATCTAATTTAGAAGAAATCAATAGTTTCTTCCTTTTATTCAATTGTCGCTCCTATTGGGCTTGTCGGAACCCGGAATTATCTGCAACGTAAAACAGCAGAGGATTCGTCAGTCGCGTATTCTCAAACACTTAGATTATATTAAGGTGCGTTTTCCGTTTTACCATATCAGCTGCTGCCGGAATCCAGTCGTTAGTTGCCGGATTTCCCTTCCACGAAGCATGGTAGCCGGAATCCGAATCCGGTGCCAGTCTAAAGCAATTACCGTTCGCGTTATCCATCTTGATGAAACCCGTTCCCGTCTATAGGGAAAAAAAGATCAATCAAAATATTTGCCCAAAGAAAAAAGAACAAGAAAAGAAAAACCACCATCGACACACAAAAGCACCGTCAAATCTGCGAAGTGATTAACAGGAGAAAGGATTGTTTTGCATACTGTGTGGTGTTGCTTGTCTACGCAGTTCAGATCTTTGTAGTACTCGGTCTCCATGTATTCCTCTGTGGCTTCTCTCCCATTGTAAACCAGTTTCTTCAATATTCAACAAATCAAGCGAAACAAACATCAATTAAACAAAAGAAGCAACCAGCCAACCAACAGGATTTAGATTAATTGAAGTTGAAGGCAAGAAACAGTAAGTGACATTGACGTTGCTAAATGCTAAGGTTCAAGAACCGGTCCTTTCCGGTTGGTCTAGCTCCATCCGGATCGGATGACAACTCAAATATTTTGCTTCTGCCAGATCTGAAACCGCTGCTACCTGATCTAATTTCTAAAAAATTGATATGAATAGATAAACAATTAGCATGAGAGAGAGAGAGAGAGAACCTCAGGATCGTTCTCCAGCTGTTGAAACTTGGCAAGTTCGGGAATATTCTGATCGAAATTAGGGAAATCGTCGGCATAGTTAGAAGAGTACTCGCTGCGCTGAGGCTTAGTGTGGCGTTTGGGAGCGATTCCGTGGAAATACTCCCTCGTTTCTTCCTCTCTCCTGGCCGCCTCCTCCCTTGATAGAGGAACGTCGCTCCGGTTCGGCTTACTGCACGCCATTTCCTTCCAATTATCGATTTATCTTCTCGAATCTCGATAAGGATAATCCACGCAGGGACGGTCAGGGCCAATATTTATAAAGGGAACGTGGGAGCTGTCTTAACTCCTGCGAGATATTTTTCTTGCTTTCCCTTTTTCTTTCTACACAGCCAGGCTTATCCAAAACGTCCTTTGATTCCTGAATGTGTATGTGTAGGGCCCTTATTAAATGCCACTTACTATTAGTAGGTCTGACAACCGATACGAAAGTCCGAATCCCAACCGACACATGATTTCTAAAAATCACCATGAATTTTTGTTAAGTTATGTTTGGTTTGAAAGAAATGGTAGGGAAAAGCAGAAAAATCTATATAAATTTTATAAGATTTTTCTATATTTTTTTTCTTTTCCCTATCTTTTCCTTCAAATCAAATATAGCCTTAAATACATAATGTTAATAGATTATCATTTTATCCTTTTTATATTTAACCCTTATTAGTAATATCATCGGGGAGGAAGAAAAAAACGATGACTGACTATTCGGCTGTTCTCTTGATGGTGAGACACTGCAGCGATGTGAAGGAGCCTTGGGAAAATTTTGGCAGCGATGTGAAGGAGCCTTACTAATATTTAACCCTTATTAGTAATATCATGGTTGTTGAGACAGTTTTGGCTATTAAGGCTCAACAGCATAGGTTGTTGAGACAGTTTTTGAGTTGGATACGTTTTAAGTAGTTCATCTATTCATGCCTATGCTTTTGATTTTTAATAAAAATAAATTAAAATATAATTACTAATTTACCTATTTTCACGATAACGTATCATTCCTGGAAATTCTCTCAACAGCCATGCTCTTGGGCCCCAACAGCTAAAATTTTTCCGCCCGCCAGCACCACACCAGGGTTGACGTTGAAAAAAAAAAAACTGGCCCATTTTGAGATGACGACGCTGAAAATGGGAGGAATTTGGTGAATTTACTAGGTGGAGGCAGACAACTCCAGAGTCCTGATCAAACGTGACACTTATCCGTGCCTTATTTACTACGCTCTGGCCCGATGGATCGGTTTGAATTGATGGATTTGAAGTCTAATGACATATTATTTATTTATTTATTTAACCAAAATCACATGATTTCAGTAAAAATTTTTAATTCCGATATTTTCACCCCAATTCAGGAAGTTACTTTTCAATGTTTCCAAAAACCGTTGCTCGTTTACATGATCGGATTTAATCCTCACAAGACTGTATTCGTACTGTCTTCATATACAATTGTAACCGTGTATTGAAAATATCTCTGTATTAATATTTTTATTTATGAAAAGATATTCTTAACGCAAACTGCAATAAGGACGGTGTGAACACGATTCTTTGTAAGGACTGAATCGAAGTTCCTCTTTTACTAATGTTATATGCTTGGATTACAATCAAGGAGTTGGTGACTGTTTCCTTGGGACTATGTGTGAGTTTGAATTTTGACAGATGACTGCTTTCTTGTTGAGACCAAGATGTAAATAAAACCTGTGGGGCTGGATATTTTTGGGAACGCACTCGGGAAAACATTTCTTTTGACCGTGTCGCATGTGACTCCCACTGAAATGTAAGCACATCAGTTTTCGAAATAAAAATCAGTTGATGTGATAATTATCCAAAATTTACCGTGACTTTTTAATATTTCTTTTAAATCTATCATAACTTTTTAAAACGTCTAAAATTCACCACGTCACTAATTGGATATTAAACGGGTTAATAATTGTTAATATATTACCATTTTATCCTTCAAATAAATAACAAAATATACAAGACCCATATGAGAAAGCATCTGCCTTGTCTTTGGGCAAGTACAATGACCTTCCATCCACCGAGAAATCGACGATCGATCATATATCTGACCGGTGGAGATTACCATTGGATCTCTCATCAATCCAATGGGATTGAGCAGTAGAAATCCTTCGGAATTGTAAGGAAGGTCTCCCCAATTTCCTGATAAATAAGACCCTTGCATGCCTTCTTTTGATTCCCAGAACCCATTTCTTCTTCCTCAAATCCGAAAAGCAAGAATCTGCAATATCTAGTGGGTGTGAGAAAGCCATTGAGTACTGATACAGTTGGCTCAACATCCCCTTCGTTATTGTAAATGTGCTCCTCTAGAAACTCAATCTCATTAGCAATGACAGAGAGCATCTGAACCAGCGCGACATTGCTGAGCTGGACCGGAGCCAAGAAAGCCTCTGAGGACAGTGTTCTTCTTCTTCACAAATAGGAGAAAATAGCAATTGATGCCATAGAAGTTAAGGATTCAAAACCCTCGCTTCCTCTTCCTCTCCTCCTTGATGTGTACGATCTCTTTTGAAATTTGAATCCTCATGCAATAAGGCTATGTTTTATCTGATTTCATAACTTGGGATTGCCATATTCTTTTATCTGGTTCACTCTTCATTTTTGCCCATTTTCTTTCATTCTGCTCTGGCATGGCATCAGACGGAAATTGAATGGGAGCGATTGATAACTGAACAACTAATCCTCTAAACAAATTAATTGATAATTGCTGGCAATGAGAGCGATTGAGTAGATTGAATGCATAGATGATAGATTAAAACCCATGCGAATGGTACAACGAATATTTCTCTAATTCCTTTGTCTTACTTAGGAGGAGGGTCCAGATGATAGATTAGAACTCATCTCGTTTGTTGGCTCTTAAGACTATATCATTCATTGAACTACTCTCTGCCTCTCTCTCTCACCAAACTGAGAACCAAAGTTATTGAATAGCAGACGAATATGTTAACGCCCATTATTTTTGTTTTCTTAATGCTGGAGCTGGACTACAAATGACTCCATGATTTTCCCTTACCCACCACCCACCTTTCCATATTCTCTTATTTCTACTTCTCCATTGCGTTAATGGCAACCATTATGCCTATACATGTCATTTGCCCTACTACTTGCCCCTCATCTCTCCCTACTTCGCACCCAAAACTGTTCCATTATTCTCTTATTCGCTGTTATGAGGACACCCTCTAACGGTCCAGAGCAGCCCAAGTTGCTTCCCTTAATGGGTCACTTGGTTACCCCGACAAGACTGATCTGCTAACCCCAACACCTTCATCCTCGACGTATCATTCTAGTCCGGCATGGGCAGAGCCAAGGCAACGCCAATGAGAGTGCTTTTGGTCGGATTTCCGACCCCAAGATCGTACTTACCCAAAAGGGCATGCAGAAAGTTCCGAGCGACAGAGGAAGAGTGAAAATCGGTAGAGAGAGACCCTAAATGAACATATTTTTTCTCTAATTCGCCAGTTAGGGGCAATTTGGTCATGCAAATTGTATTTATGCTAACGTGGACAATTTATGTTAGTGATGGTGCTTTAACAAAAGGTGAGTCTTGAAAAATAAAAATCGCCAAAAATTGCCATCACCTCCTCGCACGTTTCCTCGCTTGCCTGGAGCTCACAGCTTCTGTTTCCACAGATTCCCCCACCCGCTTCGATGGTGCAGGCACCCGACACTCCTTTTCGCTAGACTGCTCTACTATGCTGTTTGTTTTCCGATGAAACCTTGTCGGAGAACCTGGTCGTTGCTCCCCTTTCTATCTACGCTTGTCGTAGTAGAAGTTTTGGCAGAGATTGAACTGCGTTTACAGTAGGATCCGGCGGCTCAATTTTGGATGGTATTGGATTCGCATCTCCTTTCTGACGACGTCTCGAAGTACAGTTGCGGTAGAGGACTCAGACGAGTTCTTGGAGAAGAATACAATCGCATTGCTAAAGAGGAGAAGAAATCACGGAAGAACTTTTAGCTGCAACCAGAGTATTGTCCTTCTTCCAACCTCTATCTCACTGTTTCAAGATCAAGATGTTGCCGGACCAAGCTTCTATATCCTGCAAATTGGAAAAAAAAAAATAAAAAACATCAGCAGCTGCAATATGATTTTTCGGCCAATTAAGCGGCTTTCCGGCACAATTTGTAAATTATTTGTCTTTTTTGCATGAACCTCATTTTGACATTATCATAACACAGGCAGATTCATTCGCATGAATACAGAGGTAGAGGAGGAAGACGATCCACTGCCCTTCATATTTTTCCAAAAAAATATTTTATTTTAGTTATTATATAAAAATATTATTTTATATTGATATTAAAGACAAAAAATTGCCTTTATCTGCTAGAAATCCTTTTTTTATAAAAGGCAAAATGAAAAAAAATAATAAATTTTAAAAATTTATAATTTATTAATATAAATTTTAGTATATACAATAATTTATATATAAAATAATAAAACGACTAAAATAATGTAGGTTGTGGGCCACGCCAGTCTATGGACTTTTACTCTTACCTCCAGTTCGACATGCAGTGCGGGCCGTGACACGTGGCTGTGCTGGGCCGGCCCATTTTATCAGCCGTTGTACTGTTGAAAGCGTCTGGTCTGGGTTCGAATTCTCCAGATATCAATAGATTCAATACCAAACTTGTAGCAAAATGCGACGGCGTGGAGGGTCCCCCACCGTAGTTGGTGTATAATTTGTATATGGAAATTAGCTCACCTACCAGATGATCTGGACTTGGGATCCGAACCAGCTGACCGCTGGGTAATGCTAATCCAAAGGATACCAGGTTCAGCTAATTGGGATCCAATTCGATGCTGATTGGTGAAACAATTAACGAAGAAGCAATTCCAACAATGCTTTATCATACGGTGAACCATCACGCCTCTCGACAATGATGTATGAGGGTGGTAATGAAGCAAAGTTGGAACCATCCCAATAGAATGTTGAGCGAGACATGCATTATCATATACGTGGGGTGACCTTGCTCAAATATTGATTCAGTATGATAGTGCAACGGACGTGATCACAATTCGGAGGGAAGGTCCCATCGAGTTCAGCTCGGTAATTGGGTGGATGAACCACTCGCCGGAAGTCGCCTCACTCGCACCTCCTCTCCGGGGTTAAGGCACTTTGGGGTTCCCAGAGTTCGGGGCTCTCTGACCTCTCCTGAGGCCTGAGCTCCTCCCAATGGACTTCGGGCCACTCCCAGATAGGAACACGACGATCCATCTCTAGACACCCCGAGGCATGGACACCTCGGGTTAGCCAGCTCGGCATAACTTGCTACGGGCAA